GACTTTGAAAATATTTTGTTTTTATTTTTCAAAACAACAAATACATACACAAAATTGGCAGAAGACGGGCACTCTAAGAAAAAAATTGTAATCAGCTGGGAGCTCTACCTTACCTTTTTATTGTACCATGCCTTCTTCTATAGTATGGAGGGTATATTAAGTTAGGCACCTCGAAAAATACATTTAAGACCCCACAAAGTAGATATATATTCTTGATAAGCATAAAATTCCATGTCGATTTAGCGATGTCCGTCCATCTATCCGTCTGTGGAAATCACTCTAGCTTCCGAACGTAATGAAGTAGGTTGATGCAATTTTACTCAAATGTGTATTATGTCTGCAGGACATTTGGTATTGAAAATGGGCCATGTATATCCACTTTTTGTATAGCCCCCACATACCAGAACCTTCCGATATTCGGTATTTTGATGATTTTTACGACATTATTTACCGGAATTGTTTCAAATTTGGTACTGAAAGTTCGTAATGAATTTGGTATTTGAAGTTCGTAATGAATACTACAGCATGGGACAGAAAATTGTCTGTGCAGGTCCACGTCTTCGTATAGCCCTCTATATTATGGTACCTCCCGATATTCGGTATTTTGATGATTTTGGCGACATTATTCACCGATTTGTTTTTTTTTTTTTTTTTTTTTTCAAGTTTCCCATTTGAATATTCTAATGGCTTTTGACAAAAGTTGTCCGTGCAGGTCCACGTCGTCGTATAGACCCTAATATAACGGTATTTTTAAGACTTTAACATAATTTTTAAGGGATTTTATTTTTTTTTAATTGCCAAATTCCTTCTTGATGTCCGCAATTAGGGTGGGAATACATAAAGCGCTTATTTGGGTGGCTAAAGTCATCGGCTGGCTTCCTTGTAGAGAAACAAAGGAGTTTTAGGTTGACTTAGTTCGATTTTGGCCCTAATCTCCTTTGTTCATTTCCGAAGAAGCCAGCCAAATAAGCGCATTATGTATTCCCACCTTTACAGGTTTTTTACTTGTTTTTTTTTTTTTTTCTTTTTTTTGAGAAACAAATTTAATTTTCCCGAATATTCTCTAAAAGTGAACTCATTTCTTGCAATGGAATACAAGTGTCAACAGTGTTGTATTTTCACGCCGATGTCTCGATTTAAGCTTTGGTCTGTTTCAGGCTTTTATGGGCATTTCCCATGGTAGAATGAAGAAGGTAAAGTCATAAAATCATATGTTTATAATTTTTTCAAAATTATTTATTTGACAAAATCTCATTGTCAAAATATATATTTAAATCCTTTTTAAATACACAAATCAGGGATGGAAACCTATTTTGATGCGGCGAAATTTGCAATGTTAATTACAGAAAATGCCGAGATGGGTATGCTTATTTGGCCCTACCCTCCTTTGTTTTTTTTTTTTTTTGCTGAAGAGGCCAGCCGATGACTTAATCCCGTCAAAAACGCGTTTTATGTATTCCCACCTTTAAATTTCACAAATTTTTTTCCTATTTCCGAATATAGAAAAATACAAAATTATATTCGTCATAACCTAATATATTATGTACAATAGGCGTGTTTTATTTCACCGAAAAAAATATTAAATTTTTGAAATTAAACAAAAAAAATTTTATAGCTCTAATATAAGAGAAAGATTTCTGATTTTTTACACTGGTACCAATAACGTTGTTATAATGAACCAAATATTGGAGGTTGGTCTAACTCTCAAAATTTTACGAGTTATAGAGGAAAATAAACATATGTTCTAAAATTTTTACACTTTGTTACAAATTATTTTCTCAGGCAAAAACATGGCTTATATACGCGACCATTCAAGCCCCTGTTGTCTATTATTATTTTTTTAATTTTAAAGTAAATAATTCCAATCAACCTACTGCTATTTATGTTTACACAACTGTCTGGTCGGTTATCGTATTCTTTGCCGACATTTGAAAAGCTTAGCCAAAAATATCGGCTCCAAATATTTGCATAAGTTTTCCGTTTTTTATTAAAACTAAATCCAGCTATGTAAACATCTAGCTAGTGGATTAAATAAATTAAAAACAATGGAAAAAAGTGAAATTGATTTAGGCACGTACACTATTTGAGAACAGTGTGGATTGATCTCTTTCTTTATTTAATAAATATAATGTCTGTACCATGGCAGAAGAATACAGGTAGATGCATCAACGCTTGGGAGCATTGATATGTCAAAAAATTTTAAACGTTTTTTTAAATATAAGTAGATTCTTATGTGTTTTCTTATTCGACATCATTCGGAGGTTCTTATAATTCGTATTTTTCAACAATTTTTACAAATTTAAACAATTTTTCATTCAACATTTTCAATTCCAAAATTGGTTTGACAGTTCATTGTCTCAACAGCTGTGTCGATGCGTCTACCTATATTCTTCTACCATGGTCTGTACCATAACTCTTTAAGTAAAAATTATTATTTGTGACGTCGAACAAACCTATTGTAGGCATGTGTTTGTGTTTATTTTCATCTCGAAAATGTTACAACATCGGTCCTTAAAACACTTTTTTCAAGAATATAGCCTTTAATGGCCCTATGGTAATCCACGTGATAATCCTTAATTTTTTTAAGGATTAAAAAATTCCTACATTTTTTTCAAGGATTCAAAAAATCTTTCATTTTTTCAAGGTTTCAAAAAATCCAAGTTCGATGATTCTTAAAAAAAATCTTAATCAGTCCACGTTTCTGGACTGAAGTTCTTGGAAAAGAAATTCTTAAAAAATCCACGTTTCTGGACTGAAGTTCTTGGAAAATAAATTCTTAAAAAATCCACGTTTCTGGACTGAAGTTCTTGGAAAAGAAATTCTTAAAAAATCCACGTTTCTGCACTAAAGTCCTTGAAAATTATTTAAAAAATCCACGTTTCTGGACTGAAGTCCATGGAAATTATTTCAAAAATCCACGTTTCTGGACTGAAGTCCTTGGAAATTATTTAAAAATCCACGTTTCCGAACTGAAGTTCTTGGAAATTATTTAATAAAATCCATGTTTCTCGACTGAAGTCCTTGAAAATCATTTAAAAAATTAACGTTTCTTGACTGAAGTCCTTTGAAATTGTTTAAAAAATTAACGTTTCTTGACTAAAGTCCTTTAAAATTATTTAAAAAAATTCATGTTTCTAGACTGAATTCCTTGGAAGTTATTACAAAAATCAAGGTTTCTGAATTGGAGTCCTTGAAAATTATTTAAAAATCCACGTTTCTGGACTGAAGTTCTTGGAAGTTATTTAAAAAATTCACGATTCTGGACTGAAGTTCTTGGAAGTTATTTAAAAAATTCACGATTCTGGACTGAAGTCAAAAATCTTTCATTTTTTTCAAGGATTCAAAAAATCCAAGTTCGATGATCCTTAAAAAAAATTCTTAAACAGTCCACGTTTCTGAGCTGAAGTTCTTGGAAAAGAAATTCTTAAAAAGTCCACGTTTCTGAGCTGAAGTTCTTGGAAAAGAAATTCTTAAAAAATCCAGGTTTCTGGACTGAAGTCCTTGAAAATTATTTAAAAAATCCGCGTTTCTGGACTGAAGTTCATGGAATAGAAATTCTTAAAAAGTCCACGTTTCTGGACTGAAGTCCTTGAAAATTATTTAAAAATCCGTGTTTCTGAAGTTCATGGAAATTATTTTAAAAATCCACTTTAATCAACCTTGAAAAAAAATCCGCATTTGATGATCCTTGACAAAATTCACGGTTGATAATCCTTGAGAAAAAAATCAACCGTTAATGATCCTTAAAAAATTAAAAAAAAAATACCTGAAAAGGAATTCTTAAAAAAGACCACTCAAAATATATCCACGTTTGATAATCCTTGAAAAAAATTCTTTAAAAAACGACGTTTCTGGACAGAAGTCTTTGGAAAAAATTCTTTAAAAAACGTTTCTGGATTGATGTCTTTGGAAAAAAATTCTTTATAAATCCACGTTTCTAGGTTGGTCTAAGTGTCCTTGAAAAAAATTAAAAACACACGTTTCCGGGAATGTCTTTACAAAAAAAAAATCTTTAAAAAATCCACTTTACTGGGCTGAAGGTCCTTCGAAAAAATCTTTTAAAAAAACAACGTTTGTTGGTTTAGTGGTCCTTGGAAAAAAAATATTTTAAAAATTCCCTTAAAAATCTCTTGAAAATCTTTTGAAAAGAAGTAAAAATACATTTTTTTATAATTTTTAGTAATAATTGTTTATATTTATATATATTTATATTTCTTAAGAGAGGAGAGGAAATTGCATAAAAATGTTGAAAATATTTTCTTAAAAAATGGAATAAAATAAAACCAAAATTCAAAAAAAATTAAATTAAGTTTAAAATAAACTTCTTAGACTTATAAAAAATGTTGTTTTGTCAATAAAATATATGAAATAACACAAAAAAAAAACTTAAAAAAATTATTTTGAAAATGGTATATTGAAATAATTTCCCGTGGGAAAATCATTGGAGGCTGAATTTGAAAGGCTAGAGAATTATTCTCCAATCCAAGGAACTTTGGGAAAAGTTGAGAAAGGAAGAAGGGCAAAAGAAAGGTTTGAAAATACCCATCAATTTTAAGGATAGTTGAGAAAGGAAAAGAAACGAAAGAAAGGTTGAAAAGTAACCACAAATTTTAAAAATGTTAGAAAATGAAAAGATAGGCCCAACATACCCATTATTTTTTTTAAATTTTCAAAAATTTTATTTGTTTTTTCTTCAAGTAAAAAAAGAATAAAGTTTATTTTTTTTAAAATATACAATATTTATTTGAAAACATAAAAGAAAAAACCTAGTATTTTCATGGAAAGAATAAAAAAAATTAGATAAGAATTAAGAATATATAGCCAGCTGACAGTTAAGTGGTTAGGAATATCAGAGAAAAGGTAAATGAATTGTAAAAGAAAACTAAACAATATAATAAATCAAAAAATCAAACATTTAAACCTTTGAACAAAAATAAAATAAAAATTAAAGTTCTAGAGGTTAGAAAATTGTTATCAAAAACGTTTTTAAGGTTATTAAGTTCTGTTGTTTTTTTGTAGAGAAGAAGAACAGGGTTTTGCTATTGTGGTAAGTATATGCGTGTTTTTGTTTTTTGCAAAAATTTTTTGTAGCTGTTGTTGTTGTTGTTTTCTTCCATTTTGCTTTTTTTTTAGATATCATCAATATCAATCTCTTCACCATCATCATCGTCCTCCTCAATAACCTTCTTGGTAACCTGGGTTACAGCCTTAAGCGGCTCAACACGGGCCCTATCATTGTATTCAATTTCCACCTCTGAATCTTCTTCGTCCTCCTCCTCCGAGGAGTCCTCCTCCTCGGCCTCCTTCAGCCATTGTATAAATGGTTTGGCCTTCTCGTGAATTTCGGTAGCCACATCCTTGGACACATATTTCTTGCTAACCTTCAGCGACCAATCCAAGATGACTTTTTCATCCAAAATATCCGTATCGTAGAACAATTTCAAAATACCAGCCACCTTGGGCATCAACTTATCCTTGTGCAGGGCAATAATCTGTTCAATGCCACCGATCAAATAGCGTTGAGCTTTCGGATTGTTGTGGGTGAAACGCAACAACAAAACACGATGTTTGCGCACATCTTGAGTCAAATTATCGGAGAATAGCAATTCGGCCAAGACCAGGGGAGCCTTGTGCACAATATCCAAACGTTCGGCTTCGATGAGCAAATCCTTGTGTTCGGCCACGGCATCCAATTTGCCATCATTCAACTTCTTTTTAACGATTTCATAGAAGATATCGATGCGTTCCTTTTCGGTTTTGTCATAGTCATCGGAAATGGTCATGCTCTTGGCGCCATCGGTTAGGTCTTGTAGACGAGCTCTAATGGCTTCCTGGAATTAGGGAGAGAGAAAAAAAAAGAAAAGATAAAAATCAGTGATTGCCGTACTAAAAATAAAATTTGTTAAGCCTAGATTTCTAAGAAAAGTGAAGGTCTCTGAAAAAATCGACGTTGGTCCTGGAAAAAATCTTTGAAATCCACATTGGGTGGTCTGATAGTTCTTGAAGAAGAAATCCTTCAAAAATCCATGTTTGGTGCTCATTGACAAAAAAAAATATCTTAAAAAATCTTTGGTGGTCTGACGTTTTCTGGACGAATTTCCTGGAAATCGCTGAGGGCTGAAGAAGTCTGATTCCCAATTTCAGTATTAGAGCATATAAGCGCCTAAAAGTATGCACCGAAAAATACTACTAATGAGGTTTTATTAAAAACTCCTCCACTCATGCCAATTTCCGAAGATCCCCGTACAGCCTGATTGCTTATTTTGGGCACCAGAACATTTAAACACCTAAATCCATAAAAAAATCCCCTTTAGGTGCCCCGGTAGTCCTTGAAAAAAAATCTTCTAAAATTCAGGTGGTTCGACGTTTTCTACTTGAATTTTCTGAAAATCGCTGTATAACAACCACCTGAGGCTTATTTCCAATCATGGGCTGAAGAAGTCTGATTGCCAAATTTAGTATCTAAACATTTAAGCGCCTAAAAGTATGCACCGAGAAGTGTCGCAAATGAGGTATTATTAAAAACTTTTCCCCACTCAAGCCCATTTCCGAAGATCTCCGTACAGCCTGATTGCCTATTTTGGATAACAGATCGGATCGTTAAAAATTTTCCGAAATTCCTCCGCCTAACTTCTCAGCCTCTAATGCTAAACTGTGATAAACTAAATGCTCCGGTGTGGTCCGCCAACGTTAGTGCTACGCAGTGGAAAAATATTCAGTCCCGCCAGAATGCCGCCCTTAGAACCGCAACAGGGTGCCTCTCCTCATGACACCTAACGACCACCTACATGAGGAGGCAAAGGTCTTCGTTTTACCGGTACGACAGCATAATAAAATACCGTCAATGGGTGCTACAGATAGGGCCATCCGAATCAACATCTGGTGGATAGGCAACCTCATCCCAGGCACGTAAGGAAAGACCTTCATGATCTACAGAGAGAGAGAGGTACAGAGGTATGAGAGCCTCTAGCTCAACAGACCTATCATGCGGGACTGATTGGTATTCACTCTAACGCGGTCTCAGAAGTCATGGAAGGATATAGAGTGAATACTGTATTAGGAGACCATCCCCCTCCCATTGCAGATGAAGAGTGAGAGCTGCCCCGAAAAACCCGAGTAGTTTTGGCTTTTCTAGAACAATCCTCCGAATTTCACCATTAGTAATTCCTAGGGCAAATATCCAGGTTCTCCACCACATTTCAGATTCCCCCAATATCAGTCATTTCCCCTCGATGCCTCAGTCTATAAAACTTCCACTCCTTTTCTTTTCTTTCTTCCCTTCCCTTTAATTTTCCCTTCCTTTCTTACCTTCGATACATCAACACTCCATTCGTCGGCATCATCATCGCCATTTGTCTCCGGCAATGCAGCACTGATCTCGGCCTCTGTCTGGCTGGCCTGATTACCACCATCCGAATCGTTATCGGAATTCTTATTCATTGAGGCATTGGCATCACCATTTTCACCATTCTTGCCCTTGCCGCGTTTCGAACGTTTACCCTCGGTGAGGGAGGAGCCTTGGGCGGCCGGATTGATAGTGGGTGGATTTTTCAAAATGAATGTGTTAACCTTGTGATTGACTTTCAAGAGGCCATGGAAACCACAGGCCTTGCAGGATTGGGAAATGGTTTGATTGCGATTTGAGACGGTTAAATCAGTTTCGGGATTATCACATTCTGGGCAGAGGACAAATTTACGTATAAAACCATCCAAGAGATCTTGCAGCTTGGCGGCATCATGCGAACCGTTTACAATGAAGCGTTCATTCTACAAAACAAGAGAGAGGAAGAGAGAGAGGGAAATTAAGGTTATGTCGGCAATGGATTTCAATTTGCAAAAACCTACCTTGTGATCGAATTGGGTCTGGGCACCCAATTCACAGCCAAAGTACTTGGTTGGATACGTGGCCGGTCTGCCAATGGCCCTGGCCACATCGGCCATATTGACAATGACAGTCTTGATGCCATTGCCCTTGCCCTCCACCTTGGCCTGGATCCGGGGCATTTTATAGCGATAGAAAATATCGGTGACATTGCGGTTTACATTGACGGTACCCATGATGATGGTTTGCTTGCTCTTAGCTTCCTCTTTCGTAGAAACACAAAATAATTAGCTCTTGGTTTTCTTTTTTTCTTTCAATGTCTAGGCTGAATATCTCCTCTTATTTGATGATCGATCTGTCACAATTCAATGACTTTCTTCTACTTGGCCCTTGGCTTTGAGCGTTTTGTAAATATCAAACCGAATCACAATAAAAATTCTCGTGTCGCACACAAATCTTGCTCTCGCACGTGCTTTCTCTTTTTCTCTCTCTCTCGCGCTGTCTATCTTTCGCCTTAGCTTAGATGGCTTTCATGGAGTTGCATAGAGGATGGGCCAGTGTAACAAACGTTTTCAAGGTTTGGTAGTTGGCGGCTACTTGCTGCTTCTCCGTCCTCCTCTGGGGTCCAACAGTTTGACGACTGTGTGGTGGTAAACTGCTGATTGCTAGGTTTAAAATGTTTATTTTTTGATTTATTATATGGTTTTATAAGAGTTGGCAAATTCATGAAGTTTGCTTTTTGTATAGAGGGCGTTGCGGTCGTTTTTGGGGTAATTGTTTCCTTTTTTTCAAAAAAAAGTTGAGCTTTTGGCTACGGCTACACACAAATTGGGTTCAGCGTTGGAACTTGGTATTGTTTATGGGTTTTTGTTTTGGGGGGTTTTTATTTTTTCCCTTGAAGTTGTGGGTTTAATATATCAAGGTTCTGTGGTGTGCCTTTTTTCTATTTTTCTGTAGCTGCAATAATAATAAATTGTTGTTGTTGGTTTTTATATGGGTAGCTTGCTTCTCTTCTACTCCAGAGTTTTCTATTATTTAATGACAATGACAATTTATATGAAAACTTCCTTCCTTCCTTGCTGGCTAGCTGGCTGGATTTTTCTTTCCGTTTTTTCTTTTATGTGGATTCTTCCAATGCAACTTGGACACAAACTCCTTTTATGGTTTTCGGAGTAATGTGTTTTGATTTGTTTTTTTTTTTTTTGGATTTTTTATTTTTTTTTTTTAATTTTTTTTTTTTTTTGGATTTTCTTTCTTTACATTTGCTGTTGTTGTTGTTGTGTTATTTTTATTAATTTATAAAAATAGTGATCTTTTGTTTAAAATTCGAAAAACCGAGGGCAATGTTGTGTCATTAGAACAACGACGAATGCCTCACGTTTCTCTAAAAGGTTGCAGCTTCCGATGTCTGTTACTAGAAAATTTTGAAGTCCTAAAAGAAAACATGAAACAGAAAAAAACTTAAGTCAGACATAACCTCAAAATAGAGAGAGAGATGGAGGAGAATAATAGGTATGATATTGGGGATGCTTTTTTAGCAGCTAATTCGTTTACTTGAACCCAGGTGACATAAAAACGGAAAAAATTTGAGAATATGGTGATGCGTAGAAATCTTAGGAAAGGATGGGAAATATATTTTTGACATAACATTTTGAGGTTAGAGAGAACTGGAGAGATGGATAATAATAGGTATGATATTGGGGATGCCTTTTTTGCAGATAGTTCGTCTACTATAACAGCGTAAAGAAACTTGAGATGAGAGTGATGCGTAGAAATCTTAAGAAACGTTGGGGAAATATATTTTTGACAACGGGAATATTAAAAAGTAAAATAGAATCAGTTGGTTTTGCCGACAGATGTATATCCCCCAGCCTTGAGTTATGATTATTCAAACGTTTGACCCTTTATGGGGGGAGATTCCGAAGCATTTGGCCAATATTGATCAATTCGTATCTGACCTAAGACTAATATAAATATTACAACGTATCCAGATATGGACTATATCGACTACTTCCTATACTTTATATGAGATATTCGCAATTTTTGGAAAATTTAAAAATATGCATGAGGTAACAGTTACAGCCGACCGAAGTATTCCATTTTCATATTTCATCTAATACAGGTAAAAATATTGGTATGGGCAAAATCGAAATCATAAATTCCGATAAATGATATATTATATCAGATTTTTGGTTAAAAGAAATATTTCGATAAGCGAGTTGTAAAGAATCGCCAACTTTTTTCGCAAGTTATGACAGATATAAGTATTGGAAATTGTGACCCTTTGTGGGTGAGGTACCAGAAGGGGCTCACAGATATATATCATCCTCACAACAGATCCTGCTTTAGCAAAAATATTTGGATTTGGGAAATTTGAAGAGAGTGGGATACATATTTCGCTTTCTTTGAGCGTTTTTGTTTTCCTCAAAATCTTAAACTCTATGTGGGGGAGGAACCAGAAAGAATGGTCCGTTCTCTACCATTTTTATAACAGATCTTGTATTGCTGGAAATATTGCGATGTGCCAAGTCTGAATAGAATCGGATGTTAATTTCCCGTTTTATGAGCTTCGTGGATACTCAAAATTTTCACCCCTTTTAGGGAAGGTACCAGAAGGAGTGGACCGATATATTCCATCTTCACACCAGACCTTGGATGAATAAAAATATTATGATGTGTGTGCTTTGAGGAGAATCGGATGCTTATTTCGTATTTTATAGTCGTTTTGGTTATTCCAAACATTTACCCTTTGTGGAGGAGGTACCAGAAGGAATGGTTTGATGTCTATCATCCTTATAACAGATATTGTGTCTATGGAAATATTAAGATGTACCAAGTCTGAGTGGAATTAGATGTTAATTCCGCGTTTTATGAGCTCCATGGAAATTCAAAATGTTAACCCTATTGTGGGGAGGTTACCAAAAGGAGTGGACCGATTTATCTCAACTTCACACCAGAACTTGGGTTAATAAAAATATTGTGATGTGTTTAATTTGAAGAGAATCGGATGCTTATTTCGGATTTTATGATTTTTTTTGGTTATTCAAAACTTTGAGCCTTTGTGGGACAGGTACCAGAAGGAATGTTCTGATCTCTACCATCTTTATAACAGATCTTGTGTTTATGGAAATATTGAGATGTACCAAGTCTGAAAGGAATCGAATGTAAATTTCCCGTTTTATGAGCTTCAAAGATATTAAAAATGTTAACCCTTTGTGGGGGAGGTACCAGAAGGAGTGGACCAATATATTCTCCATCTTCACACCAGACCTTGGGTGAATAAAATATAATGATATGTGTAATTTGAAGACAATCGGACACTTACGTCAGATTTTAGAAAAGTTATAATTATTCAAAATTTTGACCCTTTGTGGGTGAGGTACTTTATGGAGTGGACCGACCGATATTGTCCATTTTCGCACCTGCTGTAGCACTGATGAAAATATTAGGATTTGCAAAGTTGAAGCAAAATCGTATTATCCTTTCTCCTTCTGTGCAGTAAATAATTTTCTTTAAAAATTTTGACATTTTGTGTGGAAGGTACTAGAAGGAGTGCACCGATATTGCTCATCTCCGAGCTTCATTTAAGTTTGAAAATAATATTACGATGTACCAAGTTTGGACCAAATCGGATACTCCCTTCAAGAGTTATCGTGCGCACCAGACAGACAGATAGACGGACGGACATCGCCAATCCAAAGACATCCATCCAAATGTCCTGAAAGGGATTTGGCACGTATCAAATGATATATACACTCTCTATCCATTTGGCTAATGCTTCTCTTTACCTTGTGGTCCATAAATACTTTCTTCAGAGCTAATGGTATATAAAAAACTTTTTACCATAATCTGTAAAGATTTGCTTTAACTTTTGACCTAAAAATACTCCCTCCCTTCAACTGGTCTTCTAAAGAATGCTTCTTATCTTATGGTCTATATTTTCTGTAAAGATTTTCTTCAAGATGTGGCCCATAAAGACTCCCTTCCATTAATATATCTACTCCAAAGTGGTCCCATAGTCCAGAGTCTCTTGTCTTTATATATTGCCTCAGAGCTCGTTTATAAAAACGTCCTCAGTTTGTTATCTATAAAGGTTCGCCACAGCAGTTGTTCTTTTTGTCTACAAAGAAGCTTTTAAACTTGTCTATGAAAGACGATCTTCTCAGCTCGATTCAAAATACACCTTTCTCAGCTCGTCTCTAAAGACGCCCCTAAAGACTCCTTTCGGTTCCTATTCATAAAGACCCAATTCAGCCCTAAAGACTCCTTTCGGTTCCTATTCATAAAGACCCAATTCAGCTCGTATATTAAAGGCCCTTCTATAAATACACCCCTCTGCTCGTATATAAAGTCTCCCATTCAATTTTCTATGGTGCACCCAATATCTGCATCCAATACATCGCACTGAGACAGATCTGTGGTGGATGACGTTCGGATAAACCGAGCAGAGCCAAAGTCTGGAGTTTTCTACGATCACGGCACGCACATACGCCTTTCAGCTTGTCTATAAAGACACCCTTCGAGACTTCCTTCAGGTAGTCTGCAATTACTCCTTCAGATTGCCTACTGCCTTAGCTCGTCTATAAAAACTTTCTTCTGCTCGTCTACAAAGACTTCTTCAGATTGCCTATAAAGACTCCACGTTGGCTCGTCTATTACGACTCCGATTAAATGGTCTTTACATGCGCCTTTCCCCCCGGAATGTCTATAAAGACTCCGCCTGCGTTTCTATAAAGACACCCATAATTGTTTACAAAGACTTCACCTTTGCACATATAGGCTCCGTCAGTGTGTCTATAAAGACACCAGCATCTTTTCTATAACGACGCCCTTCAGCTTGCCTGTAATGACTCTATATAAAAATTGTCTTCCGTTCGTATTTAAAAACTCCCTTCAGCTCACTTCTTTAGCTAGTCAACAACTAATTTGGATTTCCTTTAAGGAGTTGTAGGATTAGAAATATTTCATTATTCAACGGCCTCCACCGTTAATGCTAAATTAAAGATGATTTTTTAGCCCTATATATATAGGCTTCCACTTGGTTGCCTACGAGTTTATAAGGATATCTCTAATGGGCACGTATAAATTTCTTTTACAAAAAATCCCATTTCCTTCGTCCGTTCTCCATCCATAAAAAATATAAAAGTTTTACCTAACTTCAAGAAGTTAATACCTCTGAGGGTGTGAGTTGACTACTTTAACCTTGACCGTTTAAATGCTCTGCAATCTATCCATCAACAAAAAAACATCGCAATATGTAAGTGTCCAATATACGAACTTACATATATATACGTTAGTAATTATATATTATAATCCATTGTTTGCCATAGCAAACAATGTATACAGCCAACGTGTGTTATTTCCCCAAAAAGGAGAATGGGGTGTATTCAAATCAAGGAAGGATAAATTAAAAATGCACATGGTATAGAATATACAGGCGCCAACCAATGGCGTGTGTTTACGTCATTAGAAATGTGACACAAATAAAATGGAGAAAAAAAAAAAACAAAAAGTAAAGCACACTTTCAGGCGTAGCCAAATTCACACTAAGGAAGCGAAATGATTAAAACTTGGTTTGTTGTTAAAGAAAACAAGTGGAAAACAGCGAAAACGAGTAAACAATAAATAAATAAAGAATAAAACCAGTAAAGTCGACTTTATGATACCCTACACCACCTTGCATTTTTAGTAGAGCTTCACATAACGAATAAAAAATAAAAGTACCAACTGTGATTATAGTTATCATTTAATTTAAAGTATATGGGAGGAACATCCTCCATTTGTGCCTTTCAGTTCAGGCTTGTATTAGCCCTTAAACAATTAACATGAAATCGGATAAATATAAATATGGAAGCTATATCCAAATCTGAACCGGATCCAGATAAAATTTGACAAAGGTATTTCTGAGCTGTATTTGATATATTTCCCCGAATATCGTTACTACGAAGCGCATATTACGGCTGCGGCGGACAAATCCAACAGATTGGATGAATATTATATATGGGAGCTATAGCTATATCTGAACCGATATTCACCAAATTTGACATACTTGTTTCTAGACATAATTTGGTCGTAAGTGCCAAATTCCATCTCATTTGAGCTAATATTACACGTTTGGTGCATAATAAACGGCAAATCGGATGAAGATATATATGGGAGCTATATCCAAATCTGAACCGATCTTGATAAAATTTTATACACTTATTTCTGAGATGTATCTGATATCTGGTACCAAATATCACCATTGTGGAGTGCATATTAAGCATGTGAGGCGCCTAAAACCCCAAATCGGATGAAACATATATATGGGAGCTTTTGCTATATCTGAACCGATTTTTACAAAATTTGATGCACTTGCTTCTATATTGAATTCGGTCGGATGTGCCAAAATTCAGGTCATTAGAACTGATATTGACCAGTTGGTGCACAATTAACCCGAAATCGGACGAAGATATATAGGGAAGCCATATCTAAATGTTGGCCGATTATCTCCAATTTCAACAGGGTTCGTCCTTGGGTCAAACAAATGATTAGTGCAAAATTTCATCTGGATTGGGCAATAAATGCGACCTTTACTTTGTTTACAAAAATATATGGACAGATGGACGGACGCACGGACATACATAAATCGACTCAGAATGTGTTTCTATGCAGATCATCAAGAGGAACTATATATACCTCCATGCCTTTTGCCTGTTACAAACAAATGCACAAATACATAATACCCTGGCCACCTTGTGGTGTAGGGTATAAAAACATGCATGAACAGTTAATCATATACCCCTTCAAAAGAGGTCTGAAAGGGCAATGGGAATATTTTACTAAGCTAAAGAAAGCAATTAAATTTATACATCAAGTGTTTGTGATTGTTTTCGCAGTTTGTTGGGCAAAAATTCAAACACACCAATGTGTTCTAGAGAAAAGAAATGCTATCTCCTTTTATTCGTGATAAAGTTCTGACGCTTATTTACAGTTAATAGCTATTTAATTGTTATATTTTGTCTGGCTTCCTTCCATGATTTCACACAGAACTTGACATACATAGACTTTTATTGATTTGGGAGAATTCAAATTACTTGAATTGCTATTGAATATGGCGATGTTGGCAGATTTTGTATCGAGAAGAAAAAATGAGGCAACGCTCCAATTTAACATAGATTGTATATCGATAATTAAAGTTTGGAATTTGGCAGTTTCAAATAATGTAATCGCAGTATTTAACTACAAAGACTTCAAATAATATTTTATATTTAAAATAAAATCTAGTTCCAAATTGAAAAATATGTATCATTTTAGTAGCAATTCTCCTGAGACCACGGATTTCGAATCTTGTGGAATTTATAGGACCTTAAAACCCAAATTAAAAAACAAGTAATTGAATCACAAATCTTTTCCTCCATCTCTGAATAGAGGGGTGGGTTTCCCACAAGGCGTTGCATAAATTTCCTTACGTATACAAATTTCCAACTACACAGCAGATCATTCAACATACATACCTATGACTTAAATAACGCCGATGTGAATTCATGCACGAACTAACTAGATTGCTCCGTTGAGGTGGAGATGGAGGTGTTTGCTGGTATACTGGTGTTTCTGTAATGAAAAAAGATCAAAAAGAAGAGATGAATAAGAAAATTAATAAAAGTCTTGCACAAAGTTTCAATTCTAATATTAATTCCTTGAGTGGTAGCTAAGTATATTACGATATAAACGATATTTATTAAAATACAATTTGAAAATGGGTAAATATTTAAATTGTATTCAAAATGATGTATATAGATGGTATGATACCTTCGATTTCTATTAGGAAGAACCCGATTTACGAAACTACATCTGATATAGACAGAAAATATGGGCTTCTTCAAAATATCAATAGTAGGCCGGTATCTTTATATGAAACTCGGCCATTGAATCTGCCTGCAATAGCATTGTAAGTGGCTTCCATTAGCCCTTAGACCTTCCATAAGGTCTCGTCATTTATGCACAACGATAACCTTAAGATAGGTAACTTTACAGATGAAAAGGAATCTCAGATTTAGTTAGGTTTAAGCATGAGCAAATACTTGAATGTTAGTGCATTCCTAGGAAGAAATGTGATGGAAAAAGTAGAAAAAAGGTAATAAAGCAGAATCTGAGTTGAGCCAAGGTCTTTTGCCAAGCCATGGAATGTTCTTAACAAATTTGTAAAAGAGTTTCTACTATCCAGCGAAAGAGTCTCTGTCCATTGCATCACCTATGAAAGAGCTACAACATTGTCTAATATATGCAGCCCAGACAAGTAACGGCAAGCAAGTGACTACTTTAATGTAATGCAAGGCAGGGTTATATGGTCCAGCCTTGGCACATCGTAATGTTAAATCGGTAAGGGTTTTCAATGCATGTGGATTATATTTGGACTAGTCCATGTCTATTATGGACTATAATTTACACACTCCATGTATGGAGTAGCCGTATTACTGGCAGGGCATACATCTATCATGCAGCTGTTGTCTCTTGCTAGGGTCATCGCAGGCCATCTGCATAGTGGATGTTCAACCACTATCCATTTGAATGTTGAAATAGCCAGTAATGGTGACTGGTAACTGACTGGTGGCTTCCTTTAGAATGAAGAAGAGGTGGAGACGGTTGAAGACCGCAGATGTCCATGTTATCCAACAATAGACATATACTATTTGGTAGATCGGAGATGATCACTCTCAAGTTCATTTCAAACGTAGGTGGCATAATATTCCAATGGTTTGCCAAAAGCATGCCCTGGCAACTAATAGATCTCTTCAACTCCTTCCTTCTATTTAGCCTATATATTTTCTTTTTTCATAGAGTATGAACACATAATTAACTAAAAGTCTTCGAAGGAAGCAGCTGCGCTTCCTTAAACAAAACCAAAACAAATGTCGTTCTGTTTCAACTTTTGAAGGGATAAGAGGAAGTGTGTGTCCTTCGTTTCATGATCGCTGTAGGTAGGAGAGGACTTTTTGAGCTAGTCGATGTAGTAGATAATAGACATTGTGAGAATCTCTTCGACTAGTAGACCAAATGGTTATGTACCGGGAAACTCCTTTATCAGTCATCTCTTGTCTTGAAATGTCACTATGACCGAAAAACCAACAAAGCTTAATTTTTTTAGGTAGTCTCGGCAAAGAACGGTCATCCCCAATCCACTCTGTAGCAATAGTTGGGTTGTAGCAACAAACTCCTTTGTGAAGCTTTCTTATAGCAGTACATCCCAGATATTTGAGCATTTCACAGGTTTCGTTTCCAAAGGTTTGCCCGAGGTCATAGGTTTTTCTTACAGTCATGGACTTGATCTTTTAAGGATAGTGTCAAGAATAGACAATTTATAGCCTTTGTTTGGAATTTTGGAAATTACATACATTTGGGCATGAATCCTTTTTTTAAGGAGCAAATTATACTTAAAGGACATACTTGGATTTTCGAGTTTTACCTTTTCCACGACTCTAGCATTGTCATGAATTATTTTCACTTTTCTGCTTTTAGTGGAGCACAATCAATGTTTTCGCCTAAAAGTATGCAACACACATTAGTTAAAAGATGTGCTTAATTCTTTCTTGATTTTAGGTTTTCAAGAACAATCGTATGGGGAGAGATTCCATTTCAATCTAGAACGACGGCAACACCGTTGAAAAATACCAACAGAGAGCATGCAAGAGTTAGAGAGAGAGAGAGGAAGAGCAAAGAGTAACGGAAAAGAGCACTTAAAAGCCCCATTTCCAATTGGGGTTTGTTGGTAAGGTCAGTTAGTTTAGGCCGTGTGCCGTTATTCATCGAAGCAATGATTTGCCGACCCAAAGTAGGAGGCTGTCTCCATACTTTATTGTGTATATAATACGTATAACGAGTTCATCTTCTCCAACAACATCTCCGTCGTCGTACGTTTTTCAACATCCTATGGAAAAATCAATAGAATTTTCTTTTTCTGGCTGCTGTGTGTACTTACTTGTGTTGGGTTTATGGTAGGCGTAGGACACCACAAATTGTAAAAATGACAAAGAGCCCACCATATGATGATGATGCTCTGCTTTCGCCAACAAATTCCTCAACGCGTCCAAAGAAATTGCTAAACAATTAAGATTAAAGAGTTTCGTTTTTTTCTTTGATGGGCAAATGTGGAATGTTCTTTTTTTGCTTCTTTTTTCTTTATTTTTCTTCTTTCTTTTTTTGGTAGACTTAATTAAAATTGTCTTCAAGTGCGTTTTTTTGCAGAGAGATTTTGCAATAACTAGACTATAAAAAAGTAGATAACAAATTTAACCAAGAAATTAGAAAGGAAAAAGAAAAAAACTATTTTTCAAGCTGATTTTCAGGCACACAAACTCTTCAAGAAGCTCACACACACACACAGAGACACCAAGAGCAGTTATAACGTTGACCTAGCACACGCAATACTTAACGCTTTGTGGCTTCTTTTTTTGTTCTCTTCTTGTTTTAAAAGTTTTTAACTTTTTTTCGGAATTTCAGAATTATTTTTTTTTTCTTTTCAACAATTAAACCAATGCCATCTAAATTTGTAATATTTTTTTTATTTTGATTCAAAAAAACTTCCAAGTGTTTCTAGAAACCGAAAAATTTGTATCCTTTCACAATTTTATGTGTATACTTCTATGGGAAATTGTTTTCTGCTTTGCAGTGCTGGATGGAAAAAATATGCTGCTGCTGCTGCTTCTTCACTCGATTATAGATTTATTTCCCTTTTGGTTTTTTTCCGTATGAAAGTTCGTCGCAAAAATTGCTTTTGAATACGCCAAGCTCTTTTTTAAGACTGACACAACAAGGCATGTGGTAGGTATCCTGTTATAGCATAGTTTTAGGAGGAGCCTACCGAAAACGAAAAATATTGTAATTTATGTGCAACTATTGCTCAGAGCTATTGCTCCTCTCATTATTTTTTTCCATGGTAGGGTAGGCTTTAGTGCTCTCTCTCTCTCTCTCTCTCTCTGGCAATTTGGGCCGGCTCTCATTGAATGCTGAGAGGATATGGTGTAACTTTTGGTTATTTTTTCTCTCTCTGTTTGGCTAAAGTTGAGAATATGAACAGTAACACCACAGAAAAATCAGGGCATATTTTTAGGGGCACAATTAAAATTAAAAAAAAATATATTTCTATTCAAAAAAAAAAAAAATATTTCTATTCAAAAAAAATATATTTCTATTCAAAAAAAATATTTCCCCGGAAAGATGAATTGTTTTTCTATAAAAAAAAACTGGTTTCAGACTTGAATTTTTTTTGTATTAAAATATTAGTTTTCATGGAAAAGTAGTTTTTTTCTATTATTTTTTTTTTAGAAAAAGATCCAGTAGTGGGATTCTCTAACTCATTTTTTGAGTTACCAACAAAAATCGATAACTTTGAAACCCAAAATTTTGATATAAAAAAGAAGTTGAAGTCGAAAACATTGGTATCTATCGGAAAGTCTTATGGACTGCTTTGATTTCGTCGCTAATTTACCGACAAATTTCGTGAATTACCGAAATTACAAGCATTTTAATTTTACCGACTTTTGTCGGTAAAAATGAGTTCGAGAATTCCACTACAAGTCGTGATTATTATACCCTCTACCATAGTATGGAGGATATATTAAGTTTGTCATTCCGTTTGTAACATCTCGAAATATACATTTTAGACCCCACAAAGTGTATATATTCTTGATCAGCGTAAAATTCTGTGACGATTTTGCGATGTTCGTCCGTCTGTGGAAATCACTCTAGCTTCCGAACGAAATGAAGTGGATTGATAAAATTTTACTCAAATGTATATTATGACTGCAGGACTTTTAGTATTGAAAATGGGTGATGTAGGTTCACGTTTTGGTATAGCCCCCGATATAATGGTACCTCCCGATATTCGATATTTTGATGATTTAAGCGACATTATTCACCGGAAATGTTTCAAATTTGGCATTTGAAGTTCGTAATGGGTACAAAAGCCTAAGACAGAAAATTATCTGTGCAGGTTCACGTCTTCGTATAGTTCCCATATAACGATACCTCCCGATATTCGGTATTTTGATGATTTTGGCTACATTATTCACCGGAATTGCTTCAAATTTGGTATTTGAAATTCGTAATGGATACTACAGCCTATGACAGGAGATTGTCTGTGCAGGTCCACGTTTTCGTATAGCCCCCACATAACAATACCTCCCGATATTCGGTATTCTGATGATTTTGGCGACATTATTCACCGGAATTGCTTCAAATTTGGTATTTGAAATTCGTAATGGATACTACAGCCTATGACAGGAGATTGTCTGTGCAGGTCCACGTCTGCGTATAGCCCCCATATAACGGTACATCCCAATATTCGGTATTTTGATGATTTTAGCGACATTATTCACCGGAATAGTTTGAAATTTGGTATTTGATGTTCGTAATGGATACTACAGCCTAAGACAGAAATTTGTCTGTGCAGGTTCACGTCTTCGTATAGCCCCCATATAACGTTACCTCCCGATATTCTGTATTTTGATGATATTGGCGACATTATTCACCGAAATTATTTCAAATTTGGTATTTTATGTTCGTAATGGATACTACAGCCTATGACAGAAAATTGTCTGTGCAGTTTCACGTCTTCGTATAGCCCCCATATAACAGTACCTCCGGATATTCGGTATTTGGATGATTTTAACGACATTATTCACCGGAATTGTTTCAAATTTGGTATTTGAAGTTCGAAATGGATGCTACAGCCTAAGACAGAAAATTGTCTGTGCAGTTTCACGTCTTCGTATAGCCGCCATATAACGTTATCTCCCGATATTCGGTATTTGGATGATTTTAACGACATTATTCACCGATTTTTTTTATTCAAGTTTCGCATTTGAATGTTGTAATGGCTTATGACAAAAGTTACCTATGCAGGTCCATGTCGTCGTATAGACCCTATATAACAGCCACATTCAGTATATTTAAGATTTTAACAGATTTTTTAAACGGATTTTCTTGTTTTTGAGAATTGCCAAATTCGTTCCAAATGTTGGAGGGTATTCAAAGTTCGGCCCGGCCCGGAACTTACAGCTTTTTTACTAGTTTTCTATAGAAAAATGACCTGCAAACTGAGATCCCGATTTTCCTATAGCTCTGAGGTCGTGATTATACCCAACACCACATAGTTGTGGTAATGGTAGTGGCATTGAGAAGGAGCTAGACCCATAGTTACTTTTTAGGATCTTCATAGAATCAATTTCTGAGTCGATTTATGCATATCAATCCATATGTCCGTCCATCCATCAGTCCATGTATTCTTTCGAACAAAATGCAGGTCGCATTTGTTATCCGATTGAGATTAAATTTTGCAGACAGTACTTGTATGGCCCAAGGATGAACCCTCTTGAAATTGGAGATAATCGGATTCGATTTAGATATAGCTCCCCTATAAATTTTCAAAAGATTTCGGGTTATTTGTGCACCAAATGGCACATATCAGCCCAAAAGTCCTGAATTTTGGTACATTTGAGCGAATTCGGTCTAGAAGCAAGTACATCAAATTTGGTAAAAATCAGTTCAGATATAGCTATAGCTCCCATATATATGTTTCATCCGATTTGATGTAAAAGTCCCTCACATTCGTAATATATATTCGACAACAATGATATTTGGGGCCAGATATCTTATAGAGCTCGGAAGGAAATACCTTTGCCAAATTTTATCGGGATCGGCTAAGATTTGGATATAGATCCCCTTATATATCCTACTTCAAATAAATTCTTTTGTTACGGGAGCTCTACTAAATGTGCATAGTTGTGTATGTTGGGTATCATATAGTCGGCCCCGCCCGACTTTTGACTTTTTCGTATTTTTTTTTTTTCTATAGAAGAACTTCTCAGACCAGAGAGGACTATAGAAAAAAAACCATCAGAAACCAATTTCCCACCAAATCAATTGTGATTTACCAATTCAGGTTGTCTGCGGGTTTTTTAAGTCCTCGAAACTCCAAATTTTAGGAATTCTGAAAATAGCAGACTTGGTTTTACATATTTGAGGGCATAAAAAAGATCCTAAGGCAATTTTTACTTGTTGTCTTTTCAAAAAAGAAAAAAAGTTGAAAATATTGAAAAATATATTTTTTTTCCATGTCTCAATTTTTTCTATTGACTGCAGGAAATGCAACTTCATGAGACGTAAAAGGAAGAGATTTTCAATTAAACAATTTCCTCGCATTTCCTGGCCCAGGTTTTAGACGCTCTCTTATCAATATTTCTAGAATTCCGTTTTATCTGAAACGTAATAGAGAGAGAGACAGAGTGAGAGAAAGAGAGAGATATGGCAATGCGCAGACTCCAAAAACCGGCCACCCTTAAGGTCCTTGTATAATTTACCATTGGTATGGAGGCACTCAATATGTGCATTTGCCGTAGAGAAGATGCTCAGAAATTTGCTCCTCGCTTCGTAAAATTTTGCTGGGAGCTAACGACAAAATTATTCTGGAACACATATTTAAATTTGGAACACATATATAAAATCAGAACACTAAATATAGACAAAGGCCTGTTTATATTTCATGTTAGAATAATAGGTAGTTACTTTTTATACCCTACAACACTATGTGTTGGGGGTATTATAAGTTTGATTGGGCCAGAATTTATGTAACATCTCGAAATATTGGTTTCCCACATCGGAAAGTATATATGGATCTTCCTAGCTCGCCGAGCTGAGTCGATCTAGCTATGTATGTCCGTCCGTCCGTCTGTCCATGTTAATTTGTAATCACTCTACAGGTCGCAATTATGGTCCGATCTTCACGAAATTTAAAATGGAGGTGGGGTTAGGGTCAGATTAGAAGCCTATTTCTTTTGGGGATGATCGCCAAATGTTTAGGTGTTGAAATGGACCAAATACTGAAAAAATATCGGATTTTGTAGTAGCTATACAGGTCGCAATTATAGACCAATTATAGACCGAATTTCGTATGTAGCTAGAGTTTAGGGCGGGGAAGAAGCCTACCAATTTGGGTGGTCATCGGATAATATTTAGCGGGTAAAATAGACCATATCTTTTGTGTTGAAAAAATTCAAAATTTTTCATTAAACAGCGAATATTTTAAATCCCGGCGAAATCACAAAGCCATGACAAGGTTACTTCTGATCTTTACATTGATGTTAACATCCATCAAATCGGATATATAGCAAAATATGTGCGATATATATGTCTATCAAAGAAGATATGCTTGAAAGATCTCTTATATATCGAGAACGGCTGAACTGATTTCGACAGTTCTCATTAATTCAGAATGGCCTCTTGGCAGGAAAGAAAAAACGTCTAAAAAATCGCATAAAAATATCTCTTTAAAGATGAAAATATTGATTTTGTAACATTTTCTCATATTTCTTCAATTTTGTCATATTTTTGGCATATTTTCATTTTGAATTAAATATTTGGTAATATTTCTACAGCCAACAAAACTAAGTAGTTAGGGTATCAGGATATCATATACAGATCGTATTTATGGCCCGATCCTTACGAAATTTTGTATGGGGATAAGATAAGGGTCAGAATAGAAGCCTACTCTTTTTGTAGATGATGGCCAAATATTTAGGGATTGAAATGGACCAATAAACTGCAAAATTGTCAGCAGGTCGTAATTATCGCTCGATTCTCACGCACATTTGAATGGGGATTACCGGACATTGCAAAAGCCAAGCAGTTTTGGATGGCCATACAAAAAATATTCAATGTGTGAAATAGTTTGCCAACTTTTGTAGACAAAATACGAAAATGTCCATTCCAGTGACTTTTTGGAGAAT